AGGGCAAGGTCCCGATAGCAAAAACGAGGATTGGATTAGGTGCGCGAATCTGGACGTGTTTTAAGCAGAGATGCAGAAAAGCAGACCATTTAGCGAAGTGTGCACCTTTCCAAAATCACGCCCAGATCCTGGCGTTCAATCCCTTCCTCTTTGCTACTGGGACCTCGCCCGCGGCGAAATATAGTGGGAGTATTGCCCGGGGCCAAGTCCCACCATCAGGGTTGAGTTTCCTCAACGGCTGAATCTGGTCGTGTTTGTGGAGATGTACAGAGATGGCGCTGAGTTTTCTCAACTGCACGTCTCCACAAACACGACCAGATTCAGGCGTTGAGGAAACTCAACGCTGCTACCGTTAGTGGGACTTGGCCCCCGGCCTGGCTGACAGGGAAAGCAAGCAAGCGCTGGGGCAAGGCCATAACAAAAAGAAAAAGAAGAGAACAAAAATAAGCAGCAGCAAGAAAAGCAAACTACTAAGTTACTAACTAGGAGCATACTCACACTGGGACTTTTTTGGACAACTCAAAATTGCGGTCAGACACGTTGAACCGGAAATGGAATTCCGGTCGGATACATTCACGAAAGTCCTAGTGTGAGTATCACCTAAGGTGAAGTATGACCACTGCTCCACGTTACTCCTAGACGGAATATTAGTTTGCCTGGAAGGAATATAAGTTTTGCCTGAACACAACTTTCAGAGCGGCACTCTGTTATACCCTGTGGAGGAGGGAGGTGACGCCACAGCCGACTACCATAGCGGATGGCGGCAGTCCGCGTTGACGCTCATATCTTTTGGTTACTGAAAAAATCGAGATTCATTGTGCATTTCTATGTGTGCAAGGGCGTCTGGTCAGGCTCCGTTCTGACTTGGGTTAATTGCAAAAATATTGCTGTTTCGAAGTTTGGCAGTAAAAAATGTCGTCCGCTCGAAGTTTCCTTTGCAAAAATAGAGGTTTCGTTGCAGCTTTATCGGGTTCCGGTACTTTGCCAGCAAAAATACCGCGTTTCGCCCAGTTTCACAGCAAAGCACCCCCAGGCCTCTGGCCTCAGGGCCTCAGGGACTCAG